CTGGCGAGATGTCTTCATTTTTTTGTTGAGTGAAGAATTAGATCGCTTATTAAGATATTTTTGTGGCGTTTTTTCTAGTTTTTTAATTTTCTCATGATTTTAGTTCCTATCACTTTATTGATTGCGGGTTAAATAGTGAGGATTTTTATAGAATTTAAATTTTTGATACTTTATGAGTGTTGTGTGAGTTTTGGATTACACCGTTGATCTTGAGTTCTGCATCATTTGGTATCAGAGTCAGGTTCCATATAAACCTCACTATCCTTTACATTTGTTCTTTACTTTCTTGCCCTCTTATTATCATTAACAAAAAAAACCATACATACATAAAACCAGGCAAGAAGCTTTCTTTGCTTGTTACTTTTCCATTGAGTGTAAACATCACCATCACCATCATTTGAATTTTTTGCCATTTTTGTGATTACGTTTCCTATTTAGTCAAAAGAAAAAAAAAAGAAAAGAAGTGAAAGAAAAAAAAGAAACAAAGGAAAGAAATCCTAATCACTCAATACAATAATCGGGAGAGTATTTACCTTTTGTACTCAACAATCATTCTTTATAATGGTGCAAGGTCGATCTCTTCAAAGCAAATTTTCCTTTTGTTTTTCACCCAAAATCAATACGCATCCATACTTAGACATCTCATTAGCACAAGACTTCATTTTCATTATAGAACGTAGTGTACATTGAGATTATAAATTTATGGACATCTTCGATTTCCTCCTTCAGGGTAAAACCAAATCCATACATTATTCTCCATAATTGTCTTTTTTTTTCCATTATCAGTTTCTTTCCTTTCTTTAAGTTCTAGTTCCAAGACACATCTAAGTATCTAATTTGCATTCTAGTACTTAGTACAACATATAACACACTTACTTTTCCTCCCTATGTTAAAACTCTTGCTTTTAGTATTTGTGTGATATTTTTTTCCATAGGGCTCCTTATAGTGTCTTAAAAACAATAATTGAATACCTTGATTCAAGAGGGTCCCATTCAAAACTCAACTTGCGGGTGGAAGATTGAGTGGAAAAAAACAAGAGCGGGTGAGGTCACCAGAGGGTAAAAGTCAAGTGAGTGAAAACACGAGAGACTTGATTAGAGTGATTATTTCTTTTGACTAACTTTTTTTCTTGCAAAAATCTTAAGAATGTCTAGTGAAAATCAATGCCCTACTGATATGAGACTAATCATGGAGGAGATGCAAGCCGAACTAGCACAACTTAGTCAAGTAGTGAAAGGCATGAGGAGTAGTCGACGTGAAGTGAGACACAGGACTCCTAACACCAGACAGCCTAGAATCCGAACCTCCAATGATGAGGCTGAGTCCTATAACGATTACGAAGAGGAAGATCGAGTCACAAGGAAAAAAGATAGAAGGGACGATAATATCAACTCCATCAAAATGAAAATATCACCCTTCAAAAGTAGGAATGATGCAGAAGCCTACTTGAAGTGGGAAAGTAAAGTAGAGCTAGTTTTTGACTATCACAACTACAACGAAGGAAAGAAGATCAAGCTGGCAGCTTTTTAGATTTCACTGATTATGCCCTAGTAGTTGGATCAATTAATCATTGTTAGGCGGCATAACGGGGAACAACCAGTCTCCACCTAGAGAGAGATGAAGGTCATTATGCGAACAAGGTGCATACCCTCTAATTACTATAGAAAAATGCATCAGAAATTATAATGTTTGATGCAGAGATTTATGTCTATTAAGGACTATCACAAGGAGATGAAGATGGCCATGATTGAGGCTAATATTGAAGAAGATTCTGAGGCAACCATGACAAGATTCTTAAGAGCTCTTAAAAGGAGATTGCAAATATTGTGGAGTTGCAACATCGCCTGGAGTTGGAGGACATGGTACACATGATCATAAAAATTGAGAGACAACTCAAATACAAAGGGAGGAGCACATCATATACCAACCTTACCTACAGCTCGGAATGACCCAAGAAAGAAAAAAAGAAGGGAGTAGACAAGAAGAAGGAAAGTTCACACCACCTGATACCAATGGGAAGACACCTAACTCATCTCGAGAGTATAGTACAGTTAAATGCTTTTGGTGTCTCAAAACTGGACATATTGCTTCTCAAAAGCTCAAATAAAAAGTTCATGCTATTGAGAGACGATGACAGAATTGATAAGATCAGTGATTGTGAAAGCGACAATAATAACAACACGCCACCACTAGAGGATGTTGAGGAAAATGTTGAATATCCAACCGAGGGGGAAGCTTTGGTTATCAGGAGAGTTTTGAATGTCCAAGTCAAGTTGGAAGAAAATAACCAGAACGAGAATATTTTCTACACTTATTGCCTTGTAAATGGGAAGGTATATAGCCTAATTATTGATGGCGGTAGCGGCACCAACGTTACCAATACTACCGTAGTTGATAAGCTAGTCTTGGATTTCTGAGGAACAATTTGTGTACTTGATCTAGATTTCTTGGAGTGGCATTTTCAGTTTGCATTGCTCGAGTCGAGCTCTTTTTCAGTGGGGGGAGAAATCTGGGCAGAATCATTAAAGGAAAAAAATCGTTTGGGGAAATTT